TGAAGCGACATGTACCTCTTCTAGACTTAGTTTATTTTTCAGTCATTCAATCTTGATCTTGGGGCGGCATGTGCTCCTCGATTTCTAGATGGACATGACCCTCTTCATGAGGCGGCACATGCTTCTAGATTTTAGATGGACATGAACCTCTTCGCTGAAGCGGCATGTCACTCTCCAGACTTAGTGGCTTGAGCTTAAAATCAATATCCATAAGACCCAACTTAAACAATATTAATTGTTATAATGGGTGTGGACTTATAAACTCATTGATTATCTTGTAACTCACCAATGTGGTACAAGACAAATTTTATGGTGTAAACAGAATGAAAGCATGATTGGAGAAGCAGAGACGGTTAGTAGACCGACGCTGATGCGGTGCAATATGATTCGAGGAAGATGAGGAGGAACCGACAGCCGTGTGCTTCGATTCCAACGACAGGTTTTCCCCCAATTCTAAGTTAGAGATTTGAGCTTGTAGAGGGTCGAAGGTTTTTCTCCCTATGCCCACACGATGGCGATGGCGGCCAGGGAGGGTCGAGGTTTGCTGCCACTTATGGCGTTGCCACCACCGTCCTCTCTCTCTCTCTCTCTCTCTCTCTCTCTAATGGGCTGCAAAAACGGAGGACTTGGTTTTCGCGCCGGCGTGCCACCGGTTGTACCGGGTTCAACCGATACCGGTCATAAAACCGGCGTGACACCACCGGTATGACCGGCATGATCTATATACGAATCACTAAGTAAAATGACTTTAATTTAGATAATTTAATTGATAAAAAATATTTTATTATTTATTTTATGATTATAAAAGTTAAATATTGATTTATTTGTTGGATTCAAGTATAAATGTTTAGGTATTGACGTTAAATGTCATATTTAAATATGAGTATTTATAATTTTATTTGTAATATTGACCGGCATGAACCGACACAAACCGGTATGTGCCACCGGTTGAACCATTACACTTGCTAAACCGGCACACTGGCATAAACCGGTTTGACAACCTTGCGGAGGAGGGAAAGATTAGACGAAGTGGGGATGTGCTAATTCTTTTTGGGGCAAAATTAGGAAATTATGAAACTGGAGATTATGTGGTTTTTTTTTTTAATTTTTAATATTATTTGGGCTGATTGGGAGGGGACGTGGCGGGTTGACTATTAGTAAACGGTTTTGACCGTCCAACATAATGGTCAACTCTCGGGTTCGTCCAATTTAGTAAATTTGATGCATAGTTGAGGCCACGATGTTATAGATTTAAAAGATTGGCAGGTTGTTGAATATGTGTAAAGTTGGGCAGGCGAAAATATTAACCCAAATTAATTTAGCTTAGAATTCGGTCGATTAGTCGAAACAATCTTTCCTCGAAACACTTTCTACATGAATTGCTTCCCCTTATCAATTATTAGTTGTGAGAGTTTCGCTGGGAAATTTTTTAGACATATTGAGTCATAATTTTCACCTGATTCGTTTTATCTTATTTGTTTGACCAATTTTTGCGGTGAGTCATATCCGCTTCGTAGGTGGGACGGACTTCGAGCATGAAATCGAGCTTCAATGTCGTATTGAATTGCATTCCAATAAAGGGAATCTATTTGGCACGCACTAGACGTTCTATTTAGCCGGATGTGGAAATTCTCCCTCTTGAGTCTGGATAGTCCTTTATAGGTGAGGTTGAGTAACTCGAAAGGGAGCTCAATCAGAACAAAGGATATGTCGCGGTATAAATCATGAGTTAACAAATTTGGAATATCATTCGTCGTCTATTTTGCAACTAGAGGGATACAACACTCGAGTGACTTTCTCACTATAGTTTTCTACCAAACTTTCCATTGCTTTGTTTTCATAGTAATTAGTTAATTCAAACTTTTGATTCACTAGATAACAAGGTAGTCTGTGAAGTGATAGTAAATTTGTCATCCGGCAGTGGCGTAGCCATAAATTTGTCTAAGATAGGTCAAACGTATATAACATAAATTTTAGGATGTGTTCATGTTATGAAAATTTTATAAAATACATTCACAAATTATTAGAGATGTTAAAATACCACAACAATAAAAATGTTCATGATTCAACAACTCATCTTATTTTAAAGTGTTTCTTTACTTGCTTATTGCAATAAGTGTTCTTTCAACACTTGTAATAGTATATAATATATGGACTAATTTTTTATATATTAAACTCACTGACAAAATATATTACCCATTCGGCGCCAACGCATCACCCTCATTTCATCATAGTGTCCTTAATATGTAGTTGCCTAGGGAGAGAATGGGAAGTTCAGATTGCACATGTTTTTCGAGAGAGCAATTTTGTAGTGGATTATCTAGCAGTTGCTGGTCATTCATTGGGGTATCAGTTTTTTATAACCCCAGTTCGACGCTGCAGTACCGACTGTACTTGACACTATTGGGGTCTATACCCCTCGTTTGATTAATACTTAAGGGTTAGAGCGCCCCTGCGCTCTATTTCTTACAAAAGAAGAGATATTGTATTCTATCCACAATCGTATAAGCAAATTTACTCTACATTTTCTGGACCAATGTGGTGCAAATGACTTACCTTGGCCTCAAGTGGTTCCGCTCCTGCCAAAATACAGGACCAAAAAATACCATACAATACAACCCTGGTATGTGGTGGTATCTTGTGGTACACAATGTTGAAAGTCGTAAATGACAGTTAGTATATAGCTACTATCATGTATTCAATTATCCTACAGTATTGATATGTTCACATCACCATGGTAAACTTTTTCATACAATCTGGTATGTTCTTATTTGATACCAGTCAATACCATATGGTATATACTGGTAAAAGTGGTTCAATTTTTTTTGTTCAAAACATATATCAAAGTGAATATCATTTTGAAGAGTACAATTAATCTGATCTAATTGTGTAAAAAATTTAAATTCCAACTTAAAACGAGCAAGAAATCGTCCGTTAAATACTAAAAGTGAAAAAATTAAAGGATTTTCAAGAAAGAGAATTGACGCTGATGTGATAGATGATGATTGAGTTATTCATGATTATTCACCTAAGATTATGAATAAAAAATTATTCCCTGTCGCATGGCTGGTGGACCCAAAATTAGAAATAGGCCTGGTTTTTGGCTCAAACACAGTGTACATAATCCCCTTCATCATTTTTCGGCCTCTACGGAGTAGAAGGGCCAAGATCAGGTGACTAAGGGGGGTCCCCTTAGTCACTTGCCTAAGTCAATCTTAGCCTTTCAAGTTCATTAAAATCCAATGGCTCTAATTAATTCAATTTAATGAAGGGTAGTGTAGTAATTACTTGATTCATGATTATTTTAATTTTTAAAATTAATAATTATAAAATCCAACACCAGTGCCCTACGAAAATTTCACAGTGGCCGACCAGCCCGTCTCCTCGCCGATCAAAATTTTCCGGCAGGTCGAGACTTTTCCGGAGAGAGAGAGAGAGAGAGAGAGAGAGAGAGAGATTCTTGCCAAAAAAAATTCTGACCAGAAAATTTTGGCCGGGAAATTTTTTCCCAGCGACCATCGTGGCCGGAGAAGAATTTTCCGGTGACAGTGCCAATTTTGTGATGTTTGTTGACATATTTTGTAATGTTTGTACGCTTTGTTATTTTGTAATGTTCGTAAACTTTGTCATTTTTGTCCACCATGTTCGTATTGTTTGTATGTCTAAAAAACACCCGGGTTGACTTTGGGAAAGAACCCCTCTATATAGGGATGGAGCCTCCAAAGTCAACCCGGTTGTTTTTTCCCGTTCGTATGGATTGTCGGTCTAGTTTGTCATTTTTGTCCACCATGTTCGTACTGTTTGTATGTCTAAAAAACAACCGGGTTGACTTTGGGAAGGAGCCCCTCTATATAGGGATGGAGCCTCCAAAGTCAACCCGGGTGTTTTTTTCTTTTTGTATGGTTTGTATTGTTTGTCAGTCTAGTTTGTATTCTTTGTACAGTTCATACGTTTGTAATGTTTGTAAATCTGTTTGTATGTTTTGTCGCTCTAGTTTGTACTGTTCGTATGTTTGTATAGTTTGTACTGATTGTAAATCCGGTTTGTATACTTCGTAATTTTCCATAATACCCAAACTACCCCTGTCATTAATTAAATAGTCATTCCCATTTTTTAACCATTGGATTGAAGTGTCCAGATCTAAGGGCTGGGAGGGGCTTAGCCAAGTGACTAAGCACCCCCTTAGTCACTAGAGGAGTAGAAGGGAAAATAAACCGAGTGCTTTCGGTAGTTACAACTTACAACGCCCAACGAGCGTCAATGGCCCAGAGATTGGGGTTGTAATGAACAACTATCATCTTTCGACTTTCGTGCAGTCGACAATTTCGCAGCTTGTCTTAGGTATGTTAATGTCTTGTCAGTGGCCGATGGATACGTAGCAACAATAAGGCTTGTTATCATCATTCTGTGACTGGGGATGCCAGGAACCCGTTCGATGAAATGCCTCACCGAACTATTTTCAACTTGGAAGAAAGACGATGGGATATTAATTCCCTATACCTGCTTGGGCATATTTGAAAGTTCAGCTGAAAACTGGAGAAATGTCGATCAAGTCATCAATAGGTTCAGCAAGAACGCAAGTTGATCTTGGGACTGGAATAGAGGGAATTAAGGATAGAAGTACTGCACTGACTCTTTTGCCTTTCATCCTGCCACTGCCATGGACTCATCCCCATGTCTGTTAGGAACAGAGAAGCTTAACAGTAATATATGCATCTTGGAAACTGCAAGTTCTTGCTATGATGACAAGTCTTTGGCAGAGGATGTTCCAGCTGCTGCTACAAGAAGATGCATGAGTAGTTAAATCAGGTCTTCACTTAACTTACATTATGTTCTTTGTACATATTTGAAACCATATCGTCCGAAAATTTCATAATTTACACGAGAAAAATGATATAAAATCTGCAGTAGAAACCCGTGGCATTTCTTTCACCTCCCTTTTCTGTGCAAGTATACATATATGTGTTCTTTGTTTGTGCTGAAATTAACTTCAGCTCTCACTAACTCTTGTTCTGATCTCTCAGTGAGCCTACGGTCTTCAGCCAGTCTACAACCTCCTGGATGGTAGGTCTCTTCATCGGGTTGTGGTTGACACACATGCAGGCCACATCCAACACTTTCACCATTTCTTGTTCATAGCCCTTTCCTCGCAGGATCGGGTCAAATATCTGTTCTTGTTTTCCCTCGCTCCTCATATGATGCACCCATCCAACCAATTCTCTTGACATCTTTGGCTTGAAAACTTCGACAGGTCTTTTCCCACTGAGCAACTCTAGCATAACAACTCCGAAGCTGTACACATCTCCTCGCAAAGTGGCTACCCATGCTTGACCATATTCTGGAGGAATGTAGCCAAGAGTACCAACAAGCTCGGTTGTAACATGAGTGCGATACGGAAGAATCAACCTGGACAACCCGAAATCTGCCACGTGAGCTTCAAACTTCTCATCGAGGAGAATGTTGCTGGACTTGATATCTCGGTGCACTATGTGTGGCTCGCATATCTGGTGCATGTAAGCCAAACCACAACTTGCACCTCTTAAGATCTTCAGTCGAGTAGGCCAATCCAGTTGGGATGCACCTTCAGTCTTCTCATGTAACCAGTAATCCAGACTTCCATTCTCCATATATGAATATATTAGCAGCCTGAAGCCATTGTGGACACAATAACCTTGCAGGGACACCAGGTTCTCATGTTGCGCTGTTGACAGCACCTCTACCTCTGCTTTGAACTCCCTCTCCATCATCCCGAAGTCTCCTGAGAGCTTCTTGACAGCCAGCTTTGTCCCATTTGCTAATGTTGCTTTATAGACCAGTCCAAAACCCCCGCAGCCAACAATGTTAGCCTGACTAAAGTTGTCGGTTGCCTTCAAGAGTTCTGATATGGTGAAGTTTTTTATCTCGCTAGCGTTGTTGGGAAACAACATAACTAGGCTGGTGTCTTTGTCAGAGTCTGGAGAGATTCTGGGGTAGGAGTTACTGGAAAATGTCTCCATTTCAATCTTGTCGCTATCTCCTCCTGGGATGATCCTTCTCTTAGACAGTACGCACAGTGCCACAACAGCAATCAATAAACCAGTGCCAAAACAGATGCCTAGAACAAGCCCAACAACAACTTTAGCATTTGCAGCTTTCTTTTTGCGAGGCGAAGTAGGACGTGCATCTTCTGGTGAACCAGGACAAGAGCGCTGCAAAACTGGACCGCACAATCCCGGGTTTCCTGCAAAGCTGGAGCTGGAGAAAGTGTCGAACTGACCTCCAGTAGGAATTGAGCCCTGAAGGTTGTTACCTGCGACGTCGAACCACGACAAGAAATGCAGCCCTTTTAGTTCTGCAGGAATTTCTCCAGATAGGTGATTCCCAGAAAGGTCCAACTTTTCTAGATTAGTGAGGTTGGATATCTCATCTGGGATGATCCCAGTGAAGTTGTTTGAGCTGAGATCCAGAACATGAAGGCCCTTGAGGTGCCCAACCTGTTCTGGAATGCTCCCACTAAGGCTGTTGTTGCCCAGGTATATTGCTGGTGGGAGGCTGGCAAGTTGGTTGTACTGCAGATTGGTAATGGTAGCGTTATTCGGGTTAACAAACACGGGCAGCTCCAGATTAGTCTTCTCCACTGATTGAACCAACTGCGGTGGTACGAGGGCTTGTAGCTCCATTAGCTCCACAGGAACATCCCCTGAGAGTCGATTATTGGACAAGTCCATGTAGAAAAGACTTGGCAGACTACCAAACCAACTGGGAATGGAGCCAGTGATTTGGTTGAAGGACAAATCCAGGACCCCGAGGCTCTTGAGGTTGGCCAGCCAAGCAGGTACCTGGCCAGAGAATTTGCATCCACCCAAGGCCAAAACCCGGATATTCTGAAAACGAGTTGGGTCTACTATGTTCCCCTCCTGTGGTATGGCCTCAAAGTAGAAGTTCTTGGAGAGAATGAGAGTAGAGAGGTTCTTGCAACCCGTCAAAAATTTCAGAGCACCAGTGAAGTTGCTGAGGTTATTGTTGGAAATGGAAAGGAAAGCAAGAGACTGCAAGGCTTGTATGTCGGGTGATATCTGGCCAGAGAGCTGATTGCTGGCAAATCTAATGGCAGTTAGCGACGTGCAGGAGAAAAGGCTGGAGGGAAGGTTACCTGTGAAGGCATTGTTACCAAGATCAAGGGTGGTAAGGCGCTGGAGGGTGGAGAAGTTGAAGTCGTCAAGCTGGCCTGCGAGGGAGTTGACCCGCAAATTCAGGATGACCAGGCTGGTACAGTTGGCCAGCGACGAGGGCAGGAAGCCGGTCAGATTGTTGACATGGAGCTGCAGAGTTTCCAACTTGGGCAGCCTGCCTATTTCTTCAGGTATTGGACCAACCAGCTGATTGGAAAAGAGCTCCAGGGTCTTGAGGCGGCCGAGGTTGACCGTCGCGTTGCTGATGGGACCGGTAAGGTGGTTGACGGACAAGGAGAGCTCCTCCAGCGACTTAATCGTGTAGATGTCGCCAGGGATGGAGCCCGACAGATTGTTGAATCCGGCCCGCAGAACCCGCAGCTGCGAACACGTACCGAACCCCGGAGGGATGGGGCCGCTGAAATCGTTCAGGGAGAAGTCGAGAGCAGCCAGCGAGGACGAAGAGGAGCAGATAGTGGACGGAATGGTGCCGGTGAAGGTGTTGTTGCTGACGTTGAAGATGGTCAGATTCCTGGCTGGCCGAATGAACAGGGTCCGGGGAAGTAATTCCCCGTGGAAATTGTTGCTGGACAAATCCACAACCCGGGCGGCAAGAGCAGCGGTACTGTTGTTGCTAGCATCGGATGGCAATTCACCGGAGAGGCGATTGTAGCTGAGATCAAGAATCTGGAGGGTGGGCAGAGAAGAGAAGAAGAAGGCAGGTGGGATGACTCCATAGAGGCGATTGTGGGAGAGGTTGAGATGAGAGAGGCGGGTGAGGTTGGCGAGCGACGGGGAGAGGGTGCCGACGAGGCCTCTGAAGGGCAGCTCCAGATGGGTCACGCGACCACTGATTGCATCGCACCCAATTCCTTCCCATCTGCAGCACTCAGCAGAGGAGGACCAATTTAATGGAGGAGATGACGTGGAGGAGATGTTGGAGAAGAAGGACAGGAGGGAAGCTCGATCAATTGGGCTGCAGAGGGTTGGAGGTTGAGGTTGAGCTTGGCATGGAGGAAGCAGAAATTGGATCAGCAGAGCAACCCACAAAACTCCAATCAAAGAAGAGGAGGAAAATGATGGTGGGGATGGACAGGAAGAAGCCGAGAAAGACAGAGAAGCAAGCTTGTCTCTTTTAGCTACTACCATGGTCGCTATTCATTCATTAACAGGAGAATGGTGGTGGGCAAGAGGAAAAGAGCTGGAGGAGGAAGAAGAAGGAGAGGAATAGGATGGAGAGATGGTGATGGTGGTGGAGGACAAGGTAGGAGGAGCAAAGTACATGATTACCAGGTCTAAGGGCGACCAGCAAGGAATTGAGGACTGCAATGAAGCCCCCATTGACCTTGAGTAGAAAAACAATTTAACAAAATTTGGGAGAAGAGGAGAAAGAGGGGAGAAAGGGATGTTGTTTGTGGATGTATGACGTCTGGTTGTTGATATGATAATGGCAACTATACACTATGGAGGAAAAAGATAACAAGAAAGAAAAAAGGAAATTCACAGAGAGAGAAACTCAGACTAATTTGTTTTCATAATTATTGTTATTATTGTGAAAAAAATGAACAGCGAAGGGAAGGCTGTACGAACTGATGGGTGGATGCTGCTGAGGAGAAACAAAACGAATAAAAAGCTTCCTGTGAATATGATTATTGTTTTGAAGTGAATATGATCTAATATCTAATCCCATTTGCCCGTGGAGCGTTTACTTTTTAGGGCGGCTGGTAGTGGCTGGTGGTGCTTTGGTGGAGCTGTGACTTCTTTTTTTTTTTTTTGGTGGCTTCAGATTATGATTGATTGATGACTATAAATAAATTATAAATATAAACATTAAGCCCACTAAAGAAGGGCAATAAACATACTTATATTATTCTCTAAAACTAATCACACCGCCGTTTACTTTCCTTCTTCGATTTCACCCCTCTTTGTCTTTTGCCTTCTAATCCATCATCTCCCTTTATCAGGTAATAATTTTGCATCTCATGCGATTTTACTGGATTGCTAGAGAAGGTTGTCGATCCGGTTTGACCTCTGGGTATTGGGATGTTCAAATGGAGTGATTATTGTGATAATTGTTTTAATTGTTTGTAAATGGATAGTTTGGTTTGGTTTGGTTAATTTGGATAATTGGTTTGGTTTGATTAACCTTTTTTAACTTGTTTTGTTTAGGTGATTTGCTTTGGTTTCAGACACTGCTAATCAATAAAATCAAATTAACCAGTTAAGTAACTAACCATATATCTAGTATATATTATATACATACACTTAATACTTTCCATAGCCACTCAAGAGTTAAATGTTCCTCCTTTTTAGTCTCATAAAAAATAAAGCTCAACATATGTTGGATGTAGAGTGTAGACCACAACATATGGACGTTTAATTTAGATAAAACTCATACATTATGTTGGATGCAATCTTGAAAGGAAGGTATTTTTCAGCCTATGATAATTGATAGGAGGCTAATTAAGTCAATTAATACAAACACAACAATTCATTAATCTCATACCATTGACATATATTTTTGTTAGGTGAAAACTTCTATTGACTGTATGATAATTGTATTAGTTGCATATATACATATGTGTGTGTGTTAAGGGTTAACTATAACTATGTGTTGTTATTCATTATATAAATTGTGAATTGATGAATTAACCTATAATTTTTCTCATTTAATGATAAATATGATGTTATATTGATTGATTTGGTTAACCAACTAACCAAACAGATTAAAATTTAATTTGGTAAATTTGGTTGTTTTATTAGTTTGGACGGTTTTTGGTTATGATATTGCATTCCATAATTAATAGACTTTAGACTTATTTGGTTTGGTAATTACAATAGTAACTATTTGAACACCTCCAGTTGGCTCGGTCGAGCAAGTGGGTGGAGGGTTAATGGGCTGACCGGATTAGCTCGAATTAGCCTGTTTTTGCACATTTCAAAAGTTAAAGATACCCAATGCCATAGTTTGATATTTGAAGGACTAGAAATATAATTTAATTTGAGCTATAAGTATATAACATATTATTTTGAAGCTTTAGGAACTATAAATACAATTTAATTTAAGGGTTAATATTTTCGTATGGCCTGAACTTTGACCAAAATAAACATCTTGTCCAATCTTTTGGATCTATAACATCCTGGCCTGAACTATACACCAAAATAAACAATTTGGCCAGATCCGACTTTTGACCGTTAACTTGGATGGTCAAACGCGTTGACCGTTAGTCAACGCGCCATGTCACTGCCAAGTCAGCATAAAATATTTAATATAATTCACAATTTCCACACATTTCCTAATTTTAAATTATTATAAGTTAAAAAAAATCATCTAATACCTTAGTTAAACCAAAAATAAAAAATGAAAAAAATTAAATATTTATCAGATATTCTGACTTGGCAGTGACGTGGCAGTGACGTGGCGCGTGGACCGTTAGTCAATGCGTTTGACCGTCCAAGTTAACGGTCAAACATCGGGGTTGGCCAAATTGTTTATTTTGATGTATAGTTCGGGCCAAGATGTTATAGATCGAAAAAATTGGCCAGGATGTTTATTTTGGTCAAAGTTCAGGCCATACAAAAATATTAACCCTTAATTTAAAGTATCAAATATCCGCTCCATTGAACGCAGACCCTACCCTACCGAAACCTCACCTTGCAGCCACCCCACCCCTATTTGCCTTGCCACCCCACTTCTTCTCTTCTTTCCCTTTTCTTTTTCTGAAAAATGGAGATCAGAAGAACAAGGGAAAAAACCCAATCCCCTTCCATATCTCTCGTGCAAAATAGGGGTGATAGGGCAAAAGCGTATAGCTTCAATTCCTATCTTGTAGTAAACTGGAAAGTCCGGGTATCGTCTCTCAGGGACTGGTGCAACCTTAAGTTCTATCAATTTTGCAGAGCAAACTATAGGTGAAAATGGTTGAATGAGATTATTAACTACTAGCAAAATAATTAAACTAATTAAGCAAAGTAAACTTGTCGGGTTTAAATCAATGGGAGAAAGCTCTGCGAGAAACACCGGGACTCACTACCTATCATATCCAGATCAAGTCACACATTCCAATCAATTTAATCCAATTCTCTACAGCCAGGATATCACTAATGTGCTATCTATCCCTGTCGGGAATTACTACGTACTAAATAATTAAATCAAATCCTACTGTCGTAGCTCAATGAGTTAATTATTTACCCTGAAGACCGATATCCTATTTAAGACCGCATAGCACCTTATTTAATCCACTGTCGCTTCGATAAGTTACTATGTCACATGAAATAGGTTCAGTTATTAGGGTTTCACTGTCGCTAATAACCTAATTAACTACGATTCATTGTATTGGTGGCCAGTCAACACAAAGCATTAAGCAATTCCATGCAATAGAGATTGGAAGAAAAGAATCATGAATCAATCCATCAAATCAAGAAAGAGCTACATCCCATGGTGTTTCCCCCAGAAATCGGGGTTTAGTTCATGACGAAATTGAGATAAATCGATAGGGTTTTGTTCATCATGTTCTAAATCAACAATAAACAAATAATTCGATTCAGAAAATCCAACCAAATAATCGCTCTTGTTGAACTCAGCTCAAACCGTCTTGGAGAAGTCGATCGCCAATTTCCCAACCCGGCTCGTCCCAAAGCTCTCTTCGCTGCGCCCTGCTAATTCTCTCCGAGAAGAGTTCCGTTCCGCTCTTTTCTTCCCCCCAAAGAATCTCGTCCCCAGCTCTTGTTTTCTTCCCTCTCCGAGCCGCCTTTCTTTTCTTTAATTCTCCCCCCCAAAAATTCCACCGCCAAGAAATTCCTCCTCCTGAAATTATTGCCACCCCCCACTAATAATCTCTGGCCCAAATCCTCCTGGCCCAAACAATCCCCTCGGTCCATGCCATTAATCCCCATCCAGCTGGGCTTTAAGCCCAGCATTCGAGAATTGTTTATCGGCACAACTTTTTTTTCGTGTTTTCTTCACCTATAATACATCAAACTTATGGCACTAGGCAATAATGATTTTTCAACCATTCTCGGGTTAGGGAGTCCTAAAATAGCATCAATCGGCTTAAACATACCATGAGATAGTCACATGCAGTTCAAGAATCAGATATATTAAAGCTGATTATCACAACCCCACACTCAATTGTTGTTTGTCCCTAAGCAACGACTCAAACAACACAAACACATAATCATCCAAAACAATGACACATTACAGACTCAACACTCAAAGCAAAACACAAAATTTCCTTGTACTCTTGTTGTAATCAGTAGTTTCTTTCTCAACGGACAAGTTATGCTTTAATGGTCATACTTTCACCCCACACTCAAGTTCTTTGCAACCATTACCATTGACTGACTCAAATCCATCAAAAACTCAAATAGCAACAGCCAATTTCGATCGTCGGTAGTGGGTGGTTAACAACTTATGGTGCACAATTATTAGGAGAATCTAACCACATCAGTGAGGTTCATATCTCGTGAGGACAGTCTGGCTTACTCACACCAATCATAAGCAATTAATTAAGCATGAGTCTCAAAAACTAATGGGGGAAGCCTTTCGCAAACATGATTTTACTTTAAGCACATCACTACCTTTTATGACAAGGAGAGGCTTTCTCTCTTTCTGCTTTTGCTTGCCGAGTGGTCGTATTTAGTACAAGTGGGATTTGTTTCTTACTACCGGTGACCGAGCAAGAGCAATTTCTGCTTCTTAGCACTCGCATAAGGGCTTCTTTTAACTCCTTTTCCTCGGTCCGTGTGGAGGGTCATTGCATCCTCAAATGGCACTTCACTCAACTGGGGATCGTACTTGATAAGCAACATCGTACGGTCGCGAACCGATTCTCAATTGAATCTTTCCTAATTCCCATGTGCAATGAGTGATTGCCTCAGAACCGCTTGAAGGCATCGATATTCAATTCAATTTATGAGTCGAACCGAAGAACTGATGGAGGCATCCAGTTCAATTAAGGAGCTTAACTTGGAATCCAGAATTTCAAACAAAAGGTTTGTGACTCCACCTTACCAGGAAGCATCTTCCTTCCCTGTCAAACTCCTCTCTTAGTCTTGCTCCTCTACTGTCAGCAAGAAGAAACAGAGAAAAAGTGAACAAAAAACTCATAAGTAAAACAATGAACTCAATAACACAAAGAACAGCATCA